ACATTAATAGTGTCGATGTCAGGGTTTGCCAATTACAGATACCTTCTATATAAACTACGTTAAACGAGCTTGTTTGATTTGGAAGCCAGTGAGTATATTTTGGCCATGTATAGTTAGCAAAGATGCACAAATATCTGGCAAAACCAGATGAGTAATGAATTTTACCAGACGAGTAACTGTATACCAGAATAAGTTATCTGGTTTTGGATCAAATCTGTTTTTCTAGACAGTATGTTAAAACCAAAGATATGTCCTTCCATCCAGTAAGCACTGGAAGAGACTGACAACTCTGTTTATCTCTACTCAGTGTGTTGCACTGAATGAGCAGGACTCTTTTCATGTCAGAATTCCCATCAAGGTATTCAATCCTTTCTTGCAAAATATGCTTCAAATAATTGAGTAGTCTGTATGCAATTTGTTCTAACCTTCTTTAGTTTTTTTCTTTTAAGTGAACTGAGCCATTTAGTTGAGTTCTAAATCCAAAACCACCACAAAGAGCAGCTTACCAGACTTGGCCAGTCCTGTGCTGGTAACGCTGTCCATACATAGTTGTAAAAATTATTGGTTTTGTCGAAATAGCAGTATCAGTTGCTTGAAGAAAAAGGGACAACAACGACAACAGTGGGGTTTTTTGCCAGTCTAAATGACTTTTTTATAAGTAAGAATTATTCCTGTATGTGTTACTGCTGGCATAACACAAACCCCCCTATTTCTAATTTAGGACTGTGTAGTAATGGGAACTATGCAAACCTCACGGTGGAAGGAACAGCTCTAGATGGAAATATGTCAGTCTATCTCCTACCACAAGGCAGCAATGAAGACTGCTTTGTTATATTGCAAAAGCAATTCCCAACTTTTTGAGTTGAACTGTGTCTGATGCAGTCTTTGGAAAAACTGAATGAAGACTATTTTGGTAAAAGATTCTCAGTCTGTGGAGAACCTGTGGATTTGTTAGTGTTAGATACAGGAATTTTATTTCACTCTGATAACGACCTAGTTTATTTAAAACTACCATTGCCATCTACATCATACAATCTATTTGTCTGATTAAGGGTATAATGTATAAGATATTATGTCCTGAATACCAGGACACAACCTGATGATCTTCTGATGTTACCCTTATGGCAAAATTAATTATCATACTATGCTGTCAGTTATTGACAGTACTGTTAATAAAATACATCAAAGTAAATTTATTCCTAAAATTACTGCCACTCATGTGCAGCTTTCTTTGGCTGTCCGCTGAATATTTGCATCTAATTTTACTGGAAATAGCATTTTTAAAAAGACCAAATTTTAAAAAGGACATTATTTGCTTGAAATTAGTTTTGACTTCATAAGTTTCATAAATGCTGGTATGTGTCATAATTTCTGCTGCGTGTGAGAATGCAGGTCAGATTACTAGTTGCATTGTTAGCTGGGGAGAGGCTACTGAAAATCAATCACAACTTACTTTTTTTTAAGTAGAGGGTCTTTTTGTCATTTCTCCCACAGCCATCCAGTATTTTCTAATTTAAAAAATGCACACAGGACTTCTCCCTTTACATCTTTTTTCCTCCACAAAAAAAAATGCAAAACCAACAGTAGGAGACGTTTTCTGTATATCATCTTCAGGGAATTTGTAGGTCAATTGAAATACATTCTTTACGGTGGCTTTTACAAGTATGGGAATGCTGGTGGGAGTGTGAGGGAGAGTTTAGGTGTTTCATCTCTTGAAAAGCTGTATCTACCTGACTTGGGTGAGGATGATAAAATTCAGGCCATGATCTGCTTAGGAACTTTGTATTTTTTTTCCCTAAATGATAATTCCAATCCCATTTCTTTTATCATTGACCATTCCCAGTTGCAGAGGAAGACTTCAAGATAAAAATCTCAAAAATAATTACCTTTTTATTTTAATCTCTCATTTTTTTTTAATGTGTGAGTTAGCAGTGCAGCTCTCCATCCACACCTCAGCTGCTTTTTTAACCCTACTACATGAAATGAAACTTTCCAGGCAAATACTGGGACATAATTTTATAGTGACACTCAAGCCCTCACCTCTCAGCCATTCCATGTGTTGATGTGCTTATGAGGGTAGGAAACGAACACGTTGGTCCAAGTATTTTCTCCTTCCGAAAGGAAGGCCCTTCCTGGTGTTTAACATGAACATCATTATCATTCAGCCTAACTTCAGTGCCAGTTCAGCAATTCACATATCCATGGGAAATGTGACATTTTGCTGCAACATGCTTCAGTGCATCTGCTGGCACCTAACCTACTGGCTAAAGGAAAGAAAACTACTGGACTGAAAATAATATACTGCTCTCCTTTGCAAAATACAGAGCCTATGGTTCTTTAGATTTTCCCTTTAGTATTTTCTTGATGTCACAAGCATCCTATTTCTTGAGGTAGTGCACATGACGGGACTCTTTTACTAGCCTTTGAAAACAGGCAGATTGCCCAATCTGTCTTGGTTATGCTAAGGAATACAGGGGAGTAGCAGGAATTCTGTATTTCTCCTAGTGGTCACACCTGGCAGAAAAACACCTGTAGCGTGCTCAAGCCAGGCAAGTCAAAAGAGTCCTCCTGCTGTGAAAATATACTGCAGAGCTCAGAAACACCAACTGGCTGGCCTAGTAATGGACAAAGCATGAAAGCTTGCACACATGCATTTTTCTTCCTTCAATGCTCTCTTGCACACATGCATTTTTCTTCCTCCAGTGCTCTCTCTGCCCTAACCGCTCCACACAGAAACAATTTTCTTCATCTTAGATACTTCACAAAATAAGCCACCAAGTGGTGACACTCACAAAGAGGGTTTTTTGTTTCCTTGTTTGTTTTTTTTGTTTTTTTTTATGGCAAGTATATACTTGTTTCCTCATCTTTTTTTTCTTATTTTTTTTTCCACTCCTATTTCTGTTCCATCTAAATGGTAGAACCTTTTCACTAGTCATAAATCGTATCAAACATTGTAAGCAAAACAAGTCAAAAAAGTGGTAATTCTGATACCAAAGCTAAGCAATTGATTTCATTATATTATTTTCTATTCTACTACAAGACTACATATGCTACTGTGGATCTCAGAGTACAATATTTTTGAAAATGATTTCTTTAAATGTACTATTTGCCATAGGAACTGCTTAGTTCTTACCATTATAATAAAAGAGAAGGGATCCTGAAGTATAATCAGCACACACTTATGGTAAGATGGGCATAAGAGATAAAATAGTTTTGATTTCAACAACCCATCCTTTGGTCAAAATTATAACCTCCCTTGCAAAGTTGGATTTAATATTATGGTGAATACCTGATTCTTAAATTTGCAGTTCTTGACTAGCGAAGTGCAACTATCTGGAGAACAGAGCAATGGTAATTCCATCTGTCTGAATACGTGGCAAAAAACTCCCTCGCTTTTAGTCGTGGACAACCATTTTGGGAACCTGATAAAGAAACAGATACAGAATGTGGGACTGCTCAGGAAGTGCTAGGCCATAGTGACCCCTTCCATCCTTAGCCAGCAGTCCTCTCCTTTCTGCATTATGTACTTAACAATTACATGAACATCTACTGTAAAGCATGATGTTGGTGTAAGTACTGTTTGGTCTCGCTGCTTTGTAAATTGCAAAATTGCAAACTTGCTTATTTTTACTGTCAGCCCCACAAACAACATGATATTCAGAAATACAAGCAAGCTATGAATCTTCATATATTTTTCACTGGATCCTTGGTTTGGCTTTTTAAGGAAAATCAATGAAAGTAATAATCAGAGAATCAAAAGTTGATACAAGTTCTAATGTCTTGTTAGATGAACAAAGTAGAAAGAAACAAGAAAAGACAGTTAATTTTTTAAGTATATTACATCCTGTTCTTTTATGAGAGCCCAGTTTCATACCACAGTTATGACAGAAGACAGACTTATGAAGCCCAGTGTTGAAGAGTCACCCTTTCAGTATTCTGTGATACGGCTTCCAGCTGATCGAAGCTGGCATCACGATCCGTTAGAGGAGGACACTGTGGAAGCAGTGTATCAAAACAGCCTAGAGAATAGACTTAACACAGTCAGACTTAAATCAAACTAAGACAGTATGGCATTTGGTTTAAATAATCTTATACTTTATTTTAAATCTTTTAAAAATCAATGTATTAGAATATATGATTCAGAATAGTAACATTTCTACTATATTTTATACTTATAAAATAATAATCTCTGGCAGTCATTAATAAGGAAGCTATTTGTTAGTCAATATGCATTAGATAAAGTGCTGTAATAATTCCTTTTATACTATACAAGCGATTTCCCCCATTAAGTGTGCAGGTTTTCTCTGCCTATTGTTGATCTGCTGCTAAACATTTCACATGTTTGGCATGACTTCAGAAGGTGACACTCCAAACAGTTTAACAAATGAAAGAACATGGATTATGACAAAAAAACGTCAGCGGTGATGTTAGTGTAAACCTCTTATTTTGGGGTTTGTTTGGAGGGCTTTCTTTTGCTTCACTCTTTCATCTTTTGTTCCATCAGAAAAGTCCTCTGCAGAAGACTTGTTTTTAGTTCCAACCACTGTGAAGTCTTTATATCTTAAAATATATATTCAGAGATATATATGAAATTAAAAAAAATGTTACTGGCATATTTTCTCTCTCTAGAAACAACTTGTGTGACAGTACCTTTATATGTTGAATCTTTTTTTACTCTGTTTCATACCACATATCATTCATTTTCATTTAGTACCAAGAAAAGCTATGAGACTCAGCATTTATATTCCCAAATTAAGATAAAATAGGTTTCAGTCACATGTTATAAGTCATTTACTTAGAAATTGGTCTCAAGAGGTAAAAAATTATTAGTGATCAATAATAATCAAGTGAGGAAAGATACAACACATATCTGAATGTAAATATGAAGTACATAAAATACTATTCCAGATAACTATGTACAAATACTGGTAAATAATTTTACTGTTTTCTCATACAGTAGCTTATATAGACAGTCCCTTAATAGCCTATTATTAGGTTAATTAAAGTTTAATTTTCCTAGATAAGATCATCTCATGTATATCTTTGGTTAACAAGACATATGCTTTCTTAGAATTATCTAAAAAATAAAGAGGATCAGTAATTGTGGATGGATTAAAACCTTCATCCATGAGTCGAAATTTTTGTTGTTTGAATGTTCCAGTCATTTCCATTTTTTCCTATAGAAGAGAGAAAGAATTATTGTTCAGTAGAAGAGCTTCTTTTCTTTTGCTCATATTCACATTTGTTTTTGAAAAGCTTACCTGAAGTAAGGATATACTGTTTATTCTCATTACGTTGGAAAACTACAACTTTTGTGCTGCTATGGACCAACACCCGGAGACGTGGTGGAAAAAAGTTACAGCCCACTGCTTTCTGCATCGCTGAGCAGTGTCTCATCACAGTGTCTCATCTGGTGTAGCCCCAGACTGCCTGAGACAATCTTGCTTCTTCACTTGTGCGCACTATGAAACTACACATCATAAAGAACCTGAGAGTGAAAACTACTATTATCAAGAACTTTTTACTGAAAAAACTTAGGAAATTCTCTGTATCTATGATTGTTCTCACCTAAAATAAAGGGTTGAATGAATCATGTACTATGTCAGCCATACTGATACTCAGCCAGGTCCAAATAAATGCAGATCTTTACTATACATTTTATAAAGTTTTCAAGCTGCTTTTCAGCGTCCCTGTGTCCCTTGCAAAAAGTAGTATGAGGCATCTCTAGTGAACTCTTTTTTCTATCCTCCCTACCTCTTCTCAGCCCCATTTTATGATCTCTCTCCATTATCTTCTCTTCTGTCTTTACATTTCTATATATAGGCAAACAATCTCCACAAATGAAAAATTAAGTATTACCTCCAACAACTCAGAGAGCTATTCCACTTCCAGATTGTAGCTACCTGCTTTGGTTGGTCTAAGGAACATTCTGACATCTTCTAAAGTATGATTACATGTCAGATCAAGCTCAGGCTCAATAGGTTTTTAATTTTTTCCCTTGAAGTTCCAACCACTACCTTCTTTCTTGGTTAACAGCAGCAGTACCAAGAGCAATTCATCTGCAACGTAGGCATTTAAATTCTAATCGAAGTTCCAGATACTTGAAATCCAGGCTACGTCCAAAATTCAGATTCCTTCTGCCCAGAATAAAGGCTTTTTTGTACATCTTTATAGCAATAAATCTAGACTACTTCTCATCATTTTGTAAACTGACTACCTCAACATTCTCAAATGTAATCTTGCTTGGTTGTATCAGAATGCTGCTGCAAAAGGTATCTTCCTGGACTTACGAGATACACATAAATACATACACATATATTTCAACTTCAAGGTCCTTCATCGCCTTTTGCTTTTTACCCCTTTATTCTGAATCAGTATTCAATCTCTGATTGGCCCAGGGAATCAACTACCATAACTTATCTTCTCTTTCCAAACAATGACTATATTTTTCATATTCTCCTCAGACATCTTCAAAAACATTTTTCTGCTTGTCTTCGTGATGATGTTTTCAAAACACCAGAAATGAAGATGCTTATCAGACTGCATTTGTTGTGATGATTAGTACTGTATGCTTTCTACACTCTCCTATTTTTCCCTAGCCATATGTAGTCTAGTGTATCACATTTACATTTTTAACTTTTCAAGAGAGGGGCTATTTTTTTCCCAAATTGGACAGCTACTACCACAAAGTACAAGTATACAAATAGGGATGACTTTGACAATTGAGGTGGTGACAGTAATAATGTACATTTTTAATTCACCTTTTCAGTTTACCTAGTACATTTTCAAATGCTTTAACTTTTGTCATTTTATTACACAGCAAATAATATTTCATTTATTGTGCACAGTCAGTGTCTCCTGCTTTAGCTCTACTTCTCTCTTTCATTTCCACAGAATAAAATGGATTTTAGATTCTCTTCTCCAGATGTAACTGTTCACATTTTAATAATCTGAATCTTTTTGTTTTCCTATGTTCATGCTTCTAATCTCCCTAAATCCTGTTGTGTGATGTCTGTCCTTACTCATTTGTACAATTCCTTCTGTTTTAACATAATCTGAAAATTTTATTGACTTTTTATGTAATTCCTTTCCCAGGACTCCATTAATGAAGACAGCAAATAGGACCAGTTCTAAAACTAGTTGTGATATATGAACAAGCGCTTTCTGTTATTCATTTAGCCATCAATGTGTTCAAATGACGTGGGTGTTTGTATGCACTGTGCAATAATGCAGCTTACCTGGACTCTTAAAAAAAGAGGACGAGCATAACTTGGTAGATGGCTCACTACTTGCTTATGCATTTGCTCCAAATCTAGAGATGTATTCTGCTTTAAAATAAGAGAGGTTTTTTTGGGTGAAGGGAAGTGAGATGAGAATTTTGAAACATGAATAAAGTTGACATGTTAGTGATGAACTTTACAAAAAAGAAGTGTAGTGCATTAATAAAGTGACAGTCGTCTATCATCTTCTGAGTTTCAGTAAAGCTGGAAGATTACATTCATATTTTATATAGTATTACATATATTTAGAGATCACTCAAGTGATCAGTTAAGTGCTAATGCTGTAAATGCATTTGGCAGGTAGGAGTAAGTGGAGTCCTGTGCTCAATATTTATCAATAAATGTGGATAAGTATCAACACCATTCCTCTCTCAAAAACAAGACTGCTGAGCCTCTTCCCCAGATAAGCCAATTACGTCTTCTCTTCAGTTCTAGCCATTCTCTCTTGCCAGTATCTTCTCTCAAAACTGTGGATCTGAATGTTGCTAACAAAGAGAGATTACAAGAGAGAGATTGCATACACTGTGTAGGAATCTGCAGGTAAATGTTGTATAGGAAATGAGAAGCTCTCATATTTTTGAGTCTGATTTTCAGTCTTCTTTATTCTGATCTTTCTTGTTGTGTGGCTTTAAACTAGAGGTAAGTGACACCTTTTTCACATTTTAAACTCTTTTATCATTTTGTGGTGGGTTCACCCTGGCCAAAAACCAAACATCCAGCCAGCTTCTCACTCACTCCCTTCTTCCATGGGATGGGAAAGGAATAGACGGAAAGCAAGAAGACTCATGTATCAAGGTAATGGCAGTTTAATAGGCAAAGCAAAAGCTGCATGCACAAGCAAAGCAAAACATAACCAGGATGTCGTTCACTATTTTTCATCATCAGGCAGATGTCCAGCTATTTCCTACAGGGAGGGGCTTCACTCAGAACATGCAGTGGTTGCTCTGGAAGACAAGCACCATAACCACAAACATCTCGCCCTATTCCCTTCCCCAGGCTTTTATTACTGAGCATGGCATCACATGATATGGAATATCCCTTTGGTCAGTTTGGGCCCGCTGTCCCATCTATGTCTGCTCACAACTTCTTACCCACCCCCAGCATACTCGCTGCATGGAGAAAGCCTCGATACTGCGCAAGATTTGTTCAGCGATAGCCAAGCATTGGTAAGTTATCAACATTGTTTTAGCCACCAATGCAAAGCACAGCAGCACATGGATTCCTATAAAGAAATTTATCTCTATCCCAGCCAGACCTAGTACACATTTTAAAAAAAGACTTAGCATGAATGGGAATCAAGCCCAGATGATCTCATGAAAATTAACAACAACAACAAAAATTAATGTCTTTTCTTTCTTAATAATTTATTTACTTTTCTCTTGGTTTTCTTTTTCATCTTGTCCTTGGTTTTGTAATATGTCTGTTTACAGATGGTTTACGAGGCTAAGCGAAAAGTGAAAAAGACAGGTGAATGTCTTCATGTACTTTCCTTTAGAGTTACTTTAATTCTTATCTTGTTGGTGTTTTATTTTGACATATGGATATGTGGATTTTCTATGGATGTGAATTTAATAAATTTTCAAAGTTTAATTTAGATTATGTAGCTATCACAAATTCATGAAAAATAACTTTTCAAAAATACATATCACTGCATACACATAAAAATGCATGATTCACTGGCTCATTCATAATCTGGTGGTATTTTCATTATCTACATCTACAACAGATGACTCAGCCAGAAGTGATACACAGTTTTAAAACACAAAATAAAATAGTTATGAGGGTTAACAACTAACCTAGGGGAAGAAAACCATACAGCTAAAGGTCTTTTACCTGGCACAGATACACCATACACGTTTGCTTCTTGTATGAAGTCCAACATTACAATCACATCAGAAACTTCTGTAGTTGCAACATTCTCCCCTTTCCACCTAAAACATGTGAAAAAATAATTTAATCCCATGAAAACATATGGACAACTCTTCTTTAAAAAACATACGCTCTAGCAGGAACTCCACTCACGTCAGACTAACATCACCTCAAATTTGTGCTCACTTGTCATGTTGGGATATTGATCTGATCACCAGAAGACAACACTTGCAATTCAAATGGCACTAGATATTAGCTGTCACTATAAAGCACAATGAAAGTTTATCATAATCTGATATAATGGTTTTCCAAATTTTGACATGTATCTAAAAGTATCAACTGTTACTAGTGTTTACGATCTGATACATTATTCTCTACTTCAGTACCCAAGTTCCTTGCTTGCAGCAAAACCATCACTAGCTACTGTGCTTATTGGCAGGACTGTTCAAAGAGCTGTAATTCCTACAGAACATTCTGGAGCTATCCAGCTCCATGGGAACACTTTTTTACAAAATTAAGCCCCTATCATTCACTTCAAGATCATCATAAACTACATCACAATAGTGATATACTGAACATTTCTGGCTGAAAACAAATAGAACAGTATTCTTCTATTCTGCATGTCCACTTTTTTACATGAAGAAATATGAAAAGAAACAAAGATTATACCTGAAGGTATCTCCAATCCTGTCCCAAAAATAAAGAAAATTCTCATCGTCTTGAACCATTAGATCTCCAGTATTAAAATAAATATCTCCCTTCTTAAATACGTCACAGAGTAATTTTTTTTCTGTGTGTCTCTTATTGCCAGCGTAACCAAAGAAGGGGTTCTTTGCATTGACCTTGGAAATGAGAAGACCAGCCTCACCTATACAGAGAAGTTGAAAGAATGTAAACCTAAGGTATCACTGCACATTTCCTCTACTTTACATTAATATTGATTTGGTACATACCATTTTACAAGACCAGGAACCAAGTCTGGCAGGGTTCAGTACATAAGACCCAATAATAAAAACTTAGCTGTTTCTATGTCTTTACAGTTCCTGTGATCATCTCTACATGCAAAGTGACCATAAAGACACTGGACAATATCACCCACCCAAATTCCCAATCTTCTGTATTTCTTCCTGATAAGTCATCAAACAGTTCTCTCCCGCAACTGTAATCTATCAATTGTGAGTTCACTAGTAGATTTTCTAACCTCTCAAAGTGCACTCTTCAAGTGAATACTATGTCCCACTCCCCACACCTTACTGAATTTCCAGGGAGGAGTCTCAACTTCATCAGCTTCCTACTAAAAAACTAGGGTTAATAAAAAGCAGGTGTTCAACTCAGGCATCAAGTTAAATGAACTCCTAACCTTTTTGGAAGCACATTCTCAACAATAAAGCTTAAGAGTTACATTACTTTGTAGCAGAGACAATAATTATAAATATGAAAATATGTAAAAACAAAAATGTGTCCAAAGGTATGCACAATTTTTAATTTAAGACTGCCTCCTCATAAAACAGCTGTGCCTTTTTTTCCGTAAATTGCTAGTGTTTAAGGTGAAAACATTTAGTTCACTGGTACTATCACTGCAGCCATGATGCTCTGGAGGTATCAGGCATGGGTAAGACAAAGTCTATAGATAGAGATAATACTTGTTATGAGACTGACTGGTATAACTGGAAAAAAACTAGACCAGATGTCTCATTAGAGCATGCTTTCCCTTCACAGGTCAGTCTGACACCACTGTAGATCATTTTCTACAAAATTTCATGTTTTGGGGACTGTATTTTCCTGAAAGTGCCCGTCTTTGATTAAGACCAATTAGAGAATCTCTTAACTCCTTTGAAAAATCTGCTTCAGCTCCCTGTTAAAGCTGTCTGCCTGACCTTTACTATGAGTTTTTCTCACTTCAGCTTCCAGGCATTAATTACAGCTGTTACCTTCCTACAGTACAACAGAGATGCTTCAGTATCTGATAAACACTTGAAAATAGGTATAATAAAGATATATCAGATATTTGATAAGTATTTTGAAGTCAGCTACAATCAAGAAAGTTCTTTTTTTTTAAAAAAAAAAAAAGCTTAATCAACTCACTTAGTCAGGGACATTTAATTGCTCACCAAAAAGCATTTGCTCTAATCCACCAGTGTTTCCTGTAGATCTCTTAGGCAACCATCTCACTGTGTTAACTGCCTTTAAAAACCACAGATGTCATTATCTACATATTCAGAGATAACATCACATCATCACTTTTCAAACATTGCTCTTCTGTGAATATATACAAGGACCTCCTAAGCTCTTCAAGTGCCAGCACTAGTATATTTAATACTTTTCTGTCTTAGATCAAAAATCACATTGCTTTTGTCAGAGCTAAAAGTAATAGTTGATGTTGGCATAGTACAGTAACACAACAGCAAGGCTCCTTAAAAAAATTCTATGGAGTATTTGTATTACAATCAAAAGGCTGTTATATCCTATTAAAATACATACTTACCTTTCTTAACTTTTTCACACCAACCATGCTTATTTCTAATTGGTTCATCTTTTCGGAAATTGTACTTGATTAAATCAAATGGGAAAAAAAGCTACAAAACGGAAAAAGGGTGATCAGTTATGCATCTACACAGTGACATCTGGTGGCAGCAAATATAAACAAGGAAACCTATATTGCAGTCTTGCTCGTCTAAAAGTAGTATGTAGTTTCCTTTAGAACTGAAAATACTCTGTATGTAAACTTACACCACTTCCTGGAGGTAAGCAACAACAAAACATTTCAAAAATAGCTGGTGAAGACATAGAACTGTAATTTTGTTAATTTGCTCACAAATAAGTTACAGGAATTACACATCAGTGGAAAAGCCTACATGAGTCAGGATAATAGAAGCGTATCCGGAATTTAACTGACATTTAATGGTGGTGGCTGATATGAAAAGTGTTCTTGGGGTCTTCTGGCACCTAAAACAACTGGCAAAGCAGAGGCCTATATCTCCTTACAAAGGGAAACTTGCTTCCTGTTGGGCTTTGCTCTTGCTTAACTGGCCTCATTTCTTCTGTCAAGCTTTCTCAGGGTGGTATATGGTGGAAAGTCTTAGCACAAGCACCCACAGAAGGACACATACTCCCATGTCATTTGACATGGCTATGTAGATGTGTGCATGTTCCACAGTTATGTCAGGGCTAGTTTTGCATTTTTCTGAAGTACTGTGAACCCTTGAGTCTGACACTGCTGACCTAACTGACCTCCTAGTTATATTTTACAACTAACCTTCCTCTTCTACAAGCATCACAGAGAATGAGGCTGTGAGTAACATGAAGGAGATGGCAAGATGCTCTTATCAACACTAGAAATTGCAGTACTTTTTTTTGCCAATATACAGGGTCTGATTCTTATTTCACTTAATTTTTCTGCTGTGATATAAATCCAGATCAGACCTTTGAGAGACATTGACAGATATCATTGTCCTGATACTATATGGACCACTGTTTGTAATTATTATCCTAAGGCTTCAGTTTTCCCAGCTTGGGATTCTGATCTCCCTTTTCATAAAAGTATATCAGCAATCTATTTAACAACTAGTCAAACCAAGGATATACAATTATCTTCTCCTGGAGAAATCCTGGAAAGCAGAGAAAACAATTTTAAAAACCTATGAGTATACACCTGCACTCTTCACAATAAAGAAATACCATTTAAGGATGGTATTATGAAAGTGACTGGAAGTAAAGAGCAGGATGCTAAAACATGAACCCACTTGCTTTTCTTCAACTAATTTGGATGAAGAGTTGGATAATTATTTTATCCTAATCTGAAATGTTGCTGTAGCTATATCACATCATTTTGTTTTCAAGGAAGTTTAAATAAATAGCAACTTATATCAAACAGGAAGCACAAAATTTCAGCCTCATATGGACAAACTTGTTTCAATGTTCAGCATTGTGTTTTCCTTCTATCCTAACTCTGAAACAAAAAGATATATTTAATAGTTGATTAAAGGAAGAAGGTCATAGCGTGCAAGATCAAGTCATGATCCAAGAATTGGACACTTCTTGAATAAAGTGAAGGGTAATTTTTTTAATAACTACAGACTATAGCATTTACAGAAGTCAAGAATATGAGAGCCAAAAAATTCACCTGAATTAGAAAATAATTCTACTATTCTTGGTGAACAGAATGGGAGGTATTAATAACAAACACAAGTAATTTTTTCTTAGAGTCTTTTCTTTTGGCTGTCTAAATTTAATTGCTGTTCTTTTTCACTTTCTTTTTCATGTTGATATTTACTACTTTAATAGGTTTCATATGACAGACCAAATGCAATGACTAATATAAATAATAAGAATGAAATGGCATAAAATGAAATATTATTCTGGGTTTTTTTGTGTTTTGATTAGAACAGCAATGTGCCCTGTTCAGTTCCACTTTTATCTCTTCATTCCTTCAGAGCTCAATAGCTGTATCTTGTCAACATTTTAGTCTGTACGATGCATTATTTTAAGTTATTATAAATACTGAGAAACCTCAACTCGTTATCTGAGATAATCTAAAAACTGCTGAGACTTGTATTATATACATTGCTGCATAGACCTTTTAGTGCCTGCAACTTAATGAACTAACTATGCCTATTCCAGTTAGCTTTTTGAAATAATAGCCATGTAAATATATCATTAAAAGGAGAAAACACCACATATTGCATTAGACATGCATAATGAAACTATTCCAATATACATTCTGTGCAAACAGCTGTCTGTGCAAACTTTCTTTTTTTATTAAATATTAGAAAATGAAAGCTCCAGAGCAAAGTATTTAGTCTTGTACAGGGCTATGTTTGTTTTATCTTATTATTTAAAATTTGTTGGAAAAGAGGACCTGAGCTGTTGAAGCATTACCATATTCTTTTCACAGAGTACTGCATGCAGCATTCATCATTTTAATCTACATTTTACTCCCTAAAGCACCACTTAAATGTACCAAACGAAAAGCATCATTTATCTAGCTGAAACTTAAAATGAGTTAAACTGCAACATTACTGTCTGTTACTATGCTGCCTGGATGTTACCTAATAACAACATCCCCCTTCCCCTCCCCACCACGCTTTTTTTTTTAATTGACTGGAAACATGTGAGTTTTAATATTGTTTTGAAAATAGTGTTGAAATTCCAAAAGTTTCAACTTACAGAAAATGCTTACAGAACTTTCATCAGAGAACAAAGATCACAAGCTATTGCTTTTATTCAGTTATTTGTTTTAGCGGTGAGATACCATTGAATTCTCTAGGAGCATATATATTTATAAAACAAAGCATTACATTTACTAGATTTAGTTCCAAGCATCTTAAAAAAGTGAAATGCAAGAAAAAAAAAATTGTGGAGCATAGTATCAGAATATCTTTTAAATGTTTTAAAAATATACTTGTAATACCTTATTTATGCTGTAAAGAGTAGATGTATAGGTCATCTGCATAGTTGTGTTGGCCAAAGTAAATGAAAGCAAGAAAACAACCTTTTAAAGCTATGCTTGATACTATCTGAATCACCACACATCATAATCAAATACCTTGGTATACACTTGAAGGAGCTTAGATTATTTTAGCTCAAAACTAGTCAAAAGAGCAGAAACAACATTCATTTTAATTGGCAAATGAACTTACCAGCTTCCATTGCTTGGATTAACACATGCCAATGTTCTTCATGTGAATCCATTTTTCCAGGGTCTTAAGACTTTCTTAAATGTAACTTTGTTTACTTTTAAACTAAAAAGTATCTTTTCTGCCACTTAAGTTCTATGACTGTACGAAAAAAGTGCGTAATACTAATTCTGTGTTGTTGTGGGTAATATGTTTTATATGTTGAAATGATTTATGATTTGTTACGAGATTTAAATGTTGATTTTGATTCATACACTTTTGAGTAGGAGAGATGTAGGTTCCTGTAATAGTTGGAATATTTACATTTAAAAGAATGAAAAAATACATTTGTAAAAAAAATTTGGAATTATTTTTTTTTACAATGTCTTTTTTTTTTCGGGTGTACTTGCCGTGAGTTATTTTTAGCCCTTCTTACAAGCTTCCTTGGGTCTCATTAGTCCCACTCTCCCATTGCACGTTCACTCAGAATTTATTTCCGTGTAAGAAACAGATTTATATATAACATAGAATCATAGAATGGTTTTGGTTGGAAGGGACCTTAAAGATCATCTAGTTCCAAGCCCCCTGCCATGGGCAGAGACACCTTCCACTAGACCAGGTTGCTCAAAGCCTCATCCAGCCTGGCCTTGAACACAGCCAGGGAGGGGCATCCACAGCTTCTCTGTGTTTGATAGACATGACTGAGAGTCTTACCAATTTTTCCTGTATGACATATTTATAAATATACACATAAAGTATTTCATATATAATAAAGTTAGTCATTAACTACATACATACATATGCCAGATGTAAATACTAAACAGTAATTTAGTATATTACTATGTTAATCTATACACTATCTTCTTTGTAAAATGTTTTAAGTTTTACCAGTCAAAAAGCTGTTCAGAGCCTTCTACTTTTCTGTTCTTTGACTCAGTATGAACGTCTTTATTGCAGGACTTATTCATATGCCACAGTGATGCTTCCAAGCACAAGAACCAATCCCTCTTATATAAAGAGTATAGTGTGAAAACAAACAAGTGCAAACAAGAGCACTGCTTCTTCACACACAGGGGCTTCTTGGATGTCTGGCAACTGCTATAACATCCATCTGTTTCTTCCTATTAACTTGTGTCTTCCAAATTATTTATGAAAATAAATGGGTTATGCAGAACCTTAATATTTATCACATGTATTTGTCCCTAACCCTTGGCAGTTACTGACAGAAAAGTTACTTTGCTCAATCTGAAAGCTCAATTCGTCTTTTAAAGCTGTAACTTTGCATCAAGAAGAGTGTGGCCAGCAGGACGAGGGAGGTTCTCCTTCCCCTCTACACTACCCTGGTGAGGCCTCATCTGGAGTACTGTGTCCAGTTCTGGGCTCCCCAGTTCAAGAAGGATGAAGAGCTACTGGAGAGAGTCCAACGGAGGGCTACAAGGATGGTGAGGGGACTGGAGCATCTC